CACCAGCTGATGTCTGCTGAGGGGGGTTCTTGCGTGTGGGAAACCTGTCCTGCGTGTGTTTGCATTGGTGTGCGTGTTCACACACGTACACACGCGTGGATGGACGGCTCTGGGACAGGCTGTAGGTGTGCATGGGGCCGGTGGCCCGGTGACACCGCGGGGGCTGAGCCGTGCCCGGCCCCCCACGGCTGCCAGCCCCGTGCTGGGTCTGGGGTGCCAGGAGGGAACCGCGGGAGAGATGCTCCAGCCTCCGCTGCGCTGCGGCCCTGTAACAGCAGCTCTGACCGCCAGAGTTAACGATATCCACCCAATTAGCTCAGCCTAGCCCCAAGGATTAGCTGATGGAATCATCATCCCAAAGCGTAAGCAGTTAACGCTGCTAATTAGTCATCGCGTGAATCCCAACCCAACCACTAACTGCAGCGGCCGCGGTAGCCGTGGGCAAGGGGTGATGCCCACCCGGCCGGGCTCTGGGAGACGGGAGCTGTTTACGGAGAATTTGCCGGGCTCGGGGATCCGTTATTTTTACACGTTGCCATAGCTACTGATACCATTATAAAATTAAGCCTGAACCATGCGGAAGAAATGGATCTGTCAGAAGGAATTATTTTCGGGAGCGCGCTGTGGGTCCGAGCGCTGCCCCCCCCCCCAAGGGCCGGCGACGAGGGGCCGAGCCCGGCGGGGTGATGGGGGTCCCCGCATCCTGCCCACGGGCACGTCGCTGGGCTGAGGCGCCGGCAAGGCTGCGGAGCTCCGGGATCGCCCGGAGCCACCGGCGCCAGCACAGCCCCTCCGGGCTGGCAGCGGCACTGGGCACGTCCGGGGCGAACAAAAGCCCGCTGAGAGGGAGCTTTCAGCCCGCGCCGTGCTGCCTCCCGCAGCGCCTGCTTTCCCCCTTCTCCTGCCTCTCTCAATATTTTTCCCTTTCCCTGCACTTCTCCGCGGAGGGACACTTGTGCCGGGCTCGGGGGCTGCCAGCGCTGGGGCCACGGCCAAGCACAGCCGCACTTTAAGGTCGCTCCCTGGAGCAGTGGGGAGCTCCAGGGACCCCGCAACATCCTGCCCTCGGGACAGGGAGCTCTCCAAAGGTTTTCCCTACCCTGAGCACTTCTCTCTGGACAAAGCCATCTGGAGCGTCCCCAGGAGTGTGCACAGCTCTCTACGGGTACAACGTACATGTGGCTGTGGGGGGCACCAGGACCACTCCAGTGTGCCACCAACAGCTGATCCAGCATGAAGAGCCCTTGGCACCCCAGTGCAGCCAGGAAAGTCCCTCCTGCTCACCCTGGAACCCTCACGCAGGCACTGGCAGGACCCAGCACTGCAGCTGGATCCGCCCTCCCCGTGCTGGCTCCAGAGGGCGATTGTCCCTGACCAATGTCCCGTCCAACACCGAAAGCACAAAGTGAGTCTTTCTTAAGCACTGGATGTTCCTGTTTGTCCCACGGCCCTGGAAACCCCTTTTTAATCACTGCCAGTCTTGGCCTCATGGCGTCCCGCAGTGATGGACCGCACGGGCCAAAGGAGTGTGGGGTACAAAGGATGTGACATTTTCATTTTCACTGCCTGCCCCCTCTGCCTGTGATAGAAGAGGCGAGGAATGGTCAGAGGGCAGCCCCCCATCCACCCCAAGCCCCTTCAGCTCCATGGATTAAATGAAAATGATTCCAGGTCTGGCAGAGAGGTTCCCACTATCAATAACTGCAATGGCACAGCCTTCTACTAGACACCAGAGAATCCACAGGGACAAGCAGCATCTTCCAAACACCTCCTCCTCTTCTCAGCTTAGAGCTCTGGACTGCAGTCTGGGGGTCCCAGTTCACTTTGTGGGCAGGGCCAGGCAGTGCCCAGGAGTCCACCTCCTCCCCAAACACCCCCGTGTCCCAGTGCTCTGGGGTGGCTATCCTGTACCCTGGCTGTCCCTGGGACTGTGCCTGGGGGGCTGGAGAAACCCCCACTGGGCTGGTGAGGGCCCTCACTCCATCAGGAACCCTGGAGGGGACGAGGCTGGCAGTGAGGCTGTGGCACTGAAACAGTTCCTATGACAACCCCAAATCCCAGACCTGTTCATCCCCTTTGGTGAAAATCCACAACAACTGTGAAACTGGGGAATAAGATTCAATAGTAAGACATTAAATAAATCAGGACCAGTGTAAAGCATGTCACTGTTTTACTTTGGCTTCGTTCCTTTCCAAGGAAAAGCCTGAGAAACCGGGAGCTGCAAAGGGGTGAGCTAACAGGTTTGGAATCGGAGAGAGAAGGTTCTGACCGTGCAACATTCCAGAGCTTCTCCTTCCTGTTCCCTCTCCTGTCAGGAGCCCAGCCCAGGGAAGACAGTGGGCATAAACGAGACCCTTGGGGCATTTTTTGGGGACAATCAAAGTGTCTCCGAGACCCTCTCCCTTCTCTCCAAGCCCCTCAAGGCAGCTGGCTGCTCCTTCAGCTCCTCCTGCTGCTCCCTGCTGTGTCCTGGCACACCATCCCCATGGCATTGCCTGGTTCTTTTGGTAGCATGGGGTCCCCCTGGCATCACAGGGTGCTTGTGGCATTGTGGGGGCCCTGTGGGGTTCCTGTGGCATCAGATGCTCTTGGACCCATGGCCTTTTGGGGGATGCTGGTGTGCAAATGGATCAGCCTGTCTCTCCCTGGGGATGGGCTTGTGCCCACCACAGTTACATGGTGGAAAGGACAGGGATGGAAAGAGGGATGGGGACAGAGCAGGGGTGCAAGGGTGTCTTGGACAGAGACAGCCACAAACCAGGCCCTTGGCTGGAGCCACTGCCCTGTCAGCCACTGGAGGGGACCAGCTGGAGCAACACTGGCTCCAGGAGACACAATGTCCCTCAGGCACCTACTCCTGTGACAGACACTGCCACTGTGGAGGATCTCTGCTTCTCATCGTGGAGCCGGAGCATCCCGGGGCAGGGCATGAAGCATTTATCCCTGTCTCTCCCTTTTTCTTCTTGCCCAGCCCTGGCTTCAGCACAGCTAAGAATTGTCCCACTCCCCATGAGTGCAGCCAGCTCTCTCCTGTCCCCCAGGACACCAGGGAAATGCCTACAGCCCCCTGTTTCAGCCAGCCCACACACTAGCTGAGACCAAGCTCTTCCTCAGCATTAATGAAACTACTGCTGCCCTCCCCTTGCTGCAAGGACCAGCCCCCTCCATCAGCCACTCTCTCCAGACTAATTGCTCTCTGTTATTCCATGTTTTCTGTCATGCTCCCCCTTGGCTCCTGGCACAGCCCATGCCTCCCACACTGGCTCCCCAGCACAGCACAGCACAGTACAGCACACAGCACCACCCTGGCAGGCCCTGACAGCCCTCTGGCACTGGCACCTCCAGGAGACAATTCCCACCTCCCAGATCAGATGTCGGAGCAGTCCCTGAGCATCCCCTGGCCACCCAGACACACATCCCAGTGCAGCCCAGCCCTTTTTCTTGACTTTGCCATCTCATGGGGTCCTGGCACTGGGCTCACACATCACACAGAGGAAAAGCGCAGCTAAACCTGGCACAACACCACCCTGGGGTGTCCGTGCACAGGATTCAGCAGCAGGACACAGCCCAAAACCTGTTTGGAGCTTGGTCTCCCCCCCGGGGACACCAAGCCTCTCCCACCACCCATCCAGGCACCACCTCAGCTCCACACTGAAGTGAAGCCTCTGCCACCTTCACTCAGCCCTGGCTGTGGCAGGAGGAGCCTGGTGGGTGCCAGCCTCAAACCCCAGCGTTGCCCTGTGCCCCCCAGCCGTGGCAGCTCCCGACCTCCCACACACCCCTCTCGTCTTGCTCAAGTACCCAGCGGGTGACTCAGTGGGATGTGACAACCAGTGGCACCAGGAAAACACCACAGTGAATCCATGATCCCAGCAGTGCCTGACACTGTCCCCAAGCGAGGTGTTGCCCCCCAAGCCAGGTGTTGTCCCCTGAGGAAGGTGCTGCCCCCCTAGTGAGGCTCTGCCCCCCGAGCGAGGTGCTCCCCAGCGCACTCCTACCTTGTGTCCGTGCTCGGGCGCTTGTTTGTGCTTTCACTGCCGGCACACCCCGGGCTGGTGGCTTAAAGGATTTTCCTTTAATAACCACCAAATCCCTCCCCTGGGCAGTAAGCCGCAGACCTGGGCCCTTTCCTAGGTGCAGAGCGCTCCACCGTGCTCTGCTCGCTCCCTGCTTTGCATATGCTCCTATCAAACTGGATTTCCCCACTCCTGATCCAGCCCAGTGCTTAAAAAGCTCTAAATCCCCTTGAATTTCATTTCCCCTGGTCCTCGAGGTCTATCCCCGGTTTCGGTCTCACCCACATATTTTAAATATTCCTGTTCACAGCCTTGATGTGAGATTTCCACCAGTTTTGGTGTCGTCCCTGTGCAGAGCCCGGGCAACCCCTGTCCTGCTCAGAGCAGCCACTGCCTTGGCTGGGAAATGATCCGTGGCATTGTCATGGCTCCACTCAGGATCCAGCACTGGGGAAAGCTTGGTCTGGCACTCCCACCCCATAGGCCCATGCTGAGGGGGCCAGGTTGAGGACAGGCACTGGACTGGCAAACTCCACCCCCCATCACCATGCCCACAGGGTGCTGAGCATTCCGAACTGTCTCTGAGAAAGAACTGACCCCAAACTGTCCCCAGGACACGTCCCCAGAGGAGGGGACTCTTATTCAGTCATGCAAATAAATTTCCGTTGTAGCTCTTCTCCCCCCGTGACAATTCTGTCCTCACAAGGATCTCCCTGCCAGCCACGCTCCCCGGGGCTGCGCAGTCTTGTTTCACTTCTCTTTTCTGATTTCACAGGAAAAAGTAGATAAATCTGAAAACTAGCAAGTGCAGCAGCTTCTGAGGTCACAGGCAGCAGTGGCAGCAGGTTCCTCTGCCTGGAAAGCCCGTTTTGGCCTCAGCCCCTCCCGCCAAGGGGGTTTCTGAGGGCCTCATGTGATCCCCCCCAGGATCCTGCAGGACTGGCACTATTGCTCTTGCCCTGAGCACAGTAAAACTGGACAGCATGGTTGTTTGATGGCTTTAATGAGGGTGGTGACAAGATAACACAAATTATGGACCTGTGAGCTGGGAAAGGGCCAGTGGAGGCCTGTGCTGGTGGGCACAGGCAAGCATGAGGCCCCCCTGGCATCATCAGCACCAAACACCTTGCACAGCGCAGAGATGCTTGGCCTCGTGGTCTGATCCAGTGGTTGAGATGGCTGCTGGGTCCTGGGAGAGCTGCTGCCCAGCCCTGGCACAGCAGGTCCAGCCCTGAGATGGGAATAAACAGGAGGAAGCTTGGCTCTGAGAATGGCATGCTGAGCTGAGACTGGGGTGTGCCACGTAAACAGCTCCACTTCTTCTTTACCGTGCCCTGCAGAAACATCCCTGCTTCCTCCCCACCACGGCTTGGCCGCGCAGGCCGTGGTGCCATGCGTCACTTGGCAGCTACCCTGAGGCTGGCGTACTCCGTGCAGGCTGTGCCCGCGCTCCTGCCGCGCCGGGGGGCCGTGGGCAGGGCCTGCAGGTCGGCGTAGTGGATGTCGTTCTCCTCCTTGCTGCTCTGCTGCAGAAGTGCACACAAATGGGGGATGATGCCACAGCAAAAATCTTGCAAAAATAACCCCAACCCTATTTCATGGAATCACAGGATATCCCCTGGGTTGGAAGGGACCCACAGGGATCATCGAGTCCAACTCCTGGCCTCGCACAGGGCAACACCAAGAACCAGGTTCAAGCCAGGCTGGTGGTGATACGGCTGCAGAGGTGGCCCCGTGCTGCAGTGCAGACTGTGCTGGGACCACATGCAGGCAGCTGCTTCCCACCCAAGGTCCCCCTTGGTCCCAGAGACTTGCAGAGTTCCTGTAAGCTGGGGCATTGGCATGGGATGCACTTCCCCCTATTCACAGATCGCTCTTACCTGGCTGGGCAGGTGGGAGCTCTCTGCATCCAGAACTTCGCTGCAGAGGGAAGGACAACCATTAGAACTAAAGGAATCCGTGTCCCCTTCCACCCAGCACAGCCTCCCTCAATTCCTCTCCCGAATTTCAGCAGGATGCCCATGCTGAAGGCAGAGAGGGACAACGTGCTGTCTGTGCTCCTGGGCTGGGCTCAGACACCGCAGCGAGGGGCTGCAGGGAGCTCCCTGGTACTGGGTGCTCCCCACCAGGTGCTCCTGTGAAACACAGAGAGAAGCAGCACAGCACAGTAAAGGACCTTTTCTGGGGCAAATTACTGCTCCGGAGAGTTAAAAAAACCCAGCATAAAGCAGGTGGATAAGGCAGTTTGCTCACCTCAGGGTGCAGAAGGAAGAGGTGGTGGGTACAAACCTGCGGGTGCTGGGGGTCCCTGCACAGCACTGCAGAGAGGTGGGCGGGAAGCTGCCCATGGCTGCTGGCCCGGCTGGGCATGGGCTGCCAACCCTGCCTTGGCGCTTCCTTCTGTACAGGCAAAGGGCGACGAGGAGGCCGAGGACAAGGAGGAAGCAGAGCACCACAACTGCAGCCACCATGCTGGGAACCACGGCTGCCTCTGTGGAGACGGAGGCAGAGCGGGAGAAGGTGGTGGGTGCAGAGCAGTGTGGGACCTTGCTGCAGGTAGGGTGGGGGCTGTGGGATGGGGTCCCTGGGAGCAGCATCCTGCTGGGCTGCACTCACCGAGCACAGACACCTCTGTGCCAGTTCCACGCTGAAACACCACATCCCCACCACTCAGGGACTTGGTGAACTTCACGCAGTAATAGGTGCCGACATCCTCGGGCTGAACATCCCTGATGTGGATGGTGAAGTCTGTGTCGGATCCACTCACTGCTCTTGTCACACGGGGAGCAGAGCCCGTGTCCGCATAGATGGTCCTGTTCCCATTGCCCCAGCCCTTCAGCCACTTCACAGGACCAATTTCACTGGATCCAGACACGGTGCAGCCCAGGGTGAGCGTCTTCCCAACTGTCACCGATACCTTGTCCTGGGGCTGGTGCAGCTTGAAGTCCTGACCCCCCCGGGCACCTGCACCTGGGCACAGCAACAGGAGGGTTTGGGGGTGAGTGATGGGGTGAGGCGAGGGCTGGCTCACAGGCAGAGCAGCTGAGAGATATCCTGGGATGTGGCAGAGGCAAAGTGCAGGCACTGGGAGAGGGGAAGCCGAGTTCAAAATGAAAAAGGGGCAAATCTGAAAAATGATCAGGTTGCCCAGGGCAGTGGTGGGGTTACCATCCCTGGAGGGATTTAAATGACATACAGATGTGGCAGTTGGGGACATGGTTTAGCGATGGCCTTGGCAGTGCTGGGGGAATGGTTGGACCTGAGGATTCTGAGATCCTTTCCAAGCTAAATGGTTCTGTGATTCCATGATTTGATAAATCTACACCCTGTCGTGTCATTTGCAGGAGCTGCTGCAGGTGCCTGGAGGCCAGAGAGGTACAGAGGGAGCCAAGGGGAATTCCTGCCAGGACAAACAACCGAGTGCTGTTAAACGTTAACGCCCTGGCTCTGTTCCATACAAGTCAGGATTACTGGGGCTCCACGAGGAATTGGGGTTCACAGCCAGGAGCCAACCAGGAGCTGGCTCTGGGCAGGGATGTGCAGCCCCGGAGTCCAACACAGCTCCCACACTCCTTGTCCCCAAATCCCTCTTGCACCCCAAAACCCTTCCAGTCCCCAAATCTCCCCTTTTCCCAAACCCCTTCATTCCCAAACCCCTCCTGCCCCCAAACCTCTCCTGCCCACATCCCCCGGTGTGCTCGGCACCGGCTCGGCTGGGCTCGACTCGGCTGTGCTCTTCTCCGGAGCTGGGCTCTGCAGCCCCGGGGACGCTTTGCCACCAAAAGGTGGTCGCGGAAGGAAACCCCCCGCCCGGTGCTTATCTTGGCGCCCGCTCGCATTAATGACCGGTGTGGGACGGGGCAGGGGAGCGGGGGCTCGGGGGCTCCACTCCCGACTCACCCGAGAGCTGCCGCTGAACGGGGCTGCGCTGCCCGGACTGGAGCGGAGCTGCCGCCGCGGCCATGGGCTCTGCCCAAACTTTGGGAAGGAAAAGGAGAAGCGGGACAGGAAACGGAGGCGAGCGGGTGGTTAACGCTTTGATGCCTGCCCGGCAGAGCCGCGCATCACCCGCGTCGGGCATCAGCCCCGTCGGGCATCACCCCTGACGGGCATCACCCCTGACGGGCATCACCCCTGACGGGCATCACCCCCGGGCCACCCGGCCCCGAGGGGCTGCTCTGGACTCCGGACGGGGAGCCGGACGGACTCTGCGACCTCCCCGGTTGGGTGCAGGGCCGGAGCACCGGGGGCCCCTGGCCCAGCTCTGCACCACCGACCCATGGGAGACACCAGCCTGCACCCCGATCCTGCTGGCAAAGGATGGGTGTCCCCCCGACGCCCCGGGGTGCTGAGCCACAGGCTGGGGCCACATGTGGGAGAGTGTGAGGCATCAGGGCCCCTCTCTCTGGCTGCCCAGTGCCCGTGGCCATGGCCGTGGCTTTGGCACATATCTGAGGGGAAAGTGGGATGGACATCACCATTTTGGACAAGCCGTGTGATGAGAACACTGGGGAACAACCGGGACACGATTGCACAGAGGAACTGGGCCACTGGTGGCCTCTTTCCTTCCCTTTTGCTGGGTGAGTGCAGCACCCTGCTGAGCTGAGTCCAGTCCAGCTGAGCCGAGTCAGGTTGAGCCTAGTCCAGCAGAGCTGAGAGAAGCCCAGACATCAGGGAGTGAGACGTGGGGATATCCATGGCTCCAGGGACAGAGGTGCTGCCTCTCACCTGCCTGATGCTGCTCCTGCTCTGCAGAGCCCCGGGTAAGTGGGGCCCACACAGCCCCAGAGCTTTTCCAATGCATGCTTCTGCATGCTGCTGGCTGGGCAGTCCTTCCCTGTGCCTGGGGATATCCAGGGCTCTCCTCTCACTGCCTCCCTTCCAACCTGCTTTTATCCCTGGACAAAGAGTTTGGTTAACTCCAGTCCTGTCCCAGGAGCTCCAGGCTCTCCCTGTCCCTCACTCCCCAGCAGCAAGGAACAGGAACATCTCTCCTGCTCCTGGCTCAGTGCCAGTGTCTGGCGATGCCTTGTGCTGTGCTCTGGCTCTTGTCAACCCCAAACCCTCCTGTTGGTGTGCCCAGGTGGAGGTGCCCAGGGGCGTGAGGACTTCAAGCTGCACCAGCCCCAGGACAAAGTGTCGGTGAAAGCAGGGGAGACACTCACTCTGAACTGCACCATCTCTGGATCCAGTGGTATTGGTCCTGTGAAGTGGCTGAAGGGCTGGGGCAGTGGGAACAGGACCATCTATGCGGACACGGGCTCTGCTCCCCGTGTGACAAGAGCAGTGAACGGGTCAGACACAGACTTCACCATCCACATCAGGGATGTTCAGCCCGAGGATGTCGGCACCTATTACTGCGTGAAGTTCACTCTGATCCTGTTCAGGGTGAATAAGGTGTTTCGGCGTGGAACTGGCACAGAGGTGTCTGTGCTCGGTGAGTGGGGGCTCCCAGAGCAGCTCCTGGGGGGAGCCAGCCCAGCCCAGCCCAGTGGGCTCCACTCAGGGTGAGCAGGGATGGGGAGGGGGCTTTGGGGGCTGGTCCCAGGAGAGGATGCCATGGGCCATTCCTGTGCCCCGCTCCCTGCAAACCTGGGGCTGGGCAGGGGGACAGAGTCTGACAGCCCTGTGCTTCTCCCCACAGCCCAACCCTCCCCCCCGATCGTGTCTGGGCCCAACCAGAGAGCGGGGCCGGGGCAATCGGTGGCTTTCAACTGCACAGCTGGAGGGTTCTTTCCCAAAGACATCGGCGTGAAATGGTTCAAGGACAGGGCCCCCATCTCATCTCAGCTGCCCCAGGTCACTGAATGGCGGGAGAAATCCTACAACATGTCCAGCAGTGTGACAGTGGTCCTAGGGGAGGGTGACGTCCCCTCACGGCTCATCTGTGAGGTGCAGCACTCCGCGTCACAGACCCTGCTGCGGGGGATGTACCAGCTCAGCAGAGTCCTGAGAGGTGAGGGCTGGGGCACTTGTGCTGGGGTGTCCTGCTCCTGTGGGGCTGGGGGTCCTGGAGTGGGTGCAGTGGGTCATGGGGTGGGGACAGGGCACCCTGCGGGCAGCAGAGCCAGGGATGTCAGACACCAGGCGCTGCCTCTCTTCCCAGTTTCCCCCAGTGTGGATGTGAGCCCTGACCAGACGAGCCCCATTGAGCTGAACAAGACTGTGAAATTCACCTGCCACGTGAAGGGCTTTTACCCAGCAAATGTGGCTGTTTCCTGGCTGGAGAATGGGATGAAGATGAAGGTGCAGAACGACTCCCGGCCATCGCTGTTGCGCCAGGGCTTGTTGGAGCTGAGGAGCCAGGTGGAGGTGCAAGCGACAGAGGAGAGGAACGGGTCCGTGTTCACCTGCCAGGTGGTACACGATGGTCAGGCCCCTGTCAACCAGTCAGCCATCCTGTGGATCGCCAGCCCGGATGAGAAGGGACCAAGCAAGTGGTCCCAGATAAACAGTGGTGCGTCAAAGCTGGGTGGGGTGCCTGCCAGGGTGGCTGTATGGTGTAACCCCCTGAGAAAGCTCAAAGTCCCAGAAGAGGCTCCTTGTGGGGCCAGGAATGCCTTTCCTTGTGACCTAGTTGCTCACATCCTCTGTCCCCACTGCAGGTGTGAACCTTTCATCCAGCCTCCTCCTCCTGTGGCTTGGCATGCTGCTGGAGAAGGGAATCCTCGGTGGGGTCCTCTTCTTCCTCTTCAAGCGCACGAAGAAGGAAGCGCTGGGGATGCTGACCTGTCCCACTGTTCCTCAAGGCGGGTCCCAGGGCTTGGCCACCACCAGCCATGTCGTGTGAGCCCGGAAATAAACGCACCAGGATGCGGAGGATGCCCTGGGTTGTTCTGTGCTGTCAGTCCTGGGCACCCAGCCCTGTCTGTGACCCATCCACCTGCCCTCCTCCAGGGCTTGGTGCTGCCCATCCCAGTGTTTGGTGCTGCCCATCCCAGTGCCGGGTGCCTGATGCCTTGTGCCTGGTGCTGCCCAACCCCATGCCCAGTGCTCAGTGCCCGGTGCCTGGTGCTCAGTGCTGCCCATCCTGGTCCCCCATGCCCGGTTCCCTGTGCTTGACTCCCGGTGCCCAGTTCCCGGGGCTCAGTACCCAGTGCTCAGGGCCCAGTTCCCAGTGTCCAGTGCTCAGTGCTCGGTGCCTGATTCCCAGGGCTCAGTGCCCAGTTTTCAGTGTCCGTTTCCTGTGCTCAGTGCTGCCCATCCCTGTTCCTGTTCCTGGTTCCCTGTTCCCGGTTCCCGGCGCACCGGCTCCTCCCGGCCGCCAGGGGCCGCTGTGCACGGGCCGGGCCCCGCTCGCCGCCGCGGGTGTTTCCGGGCGGGCGGGTTTGGCGGCGCACGCGGGGCGGGGCGGGGCGGCCCGGCGGGGTTTGGGTGCTGCACCGCGGCAAGATGGCGGACAGGGAGGAGGCGCTGAGGGAGTTCGTGGCCGTGACCGGCACCGAGGAGGAGCGAGCGCGGTTCTTCCTCGAGTCTTCGGGCTGGGACCTCCAGGTACCTCCGCCGCTGCCCTCCGCTCGCTCCGCTGCGGGGCTCGACGGCGCCGCGGCGTTGGCCGGGGGGCAGCGCTGGGCCGGAGCTCGGTGTCCCGCAGGCTCAGGCCTCGCCCCCGCCCGTCGCCGGGCTCAGCCCTTGCGGCGGGACCGTGGCCTGGCTGGGGCCGAGGCCCGTCTCGGTTGTCTCGTTCGTTTTCTCCCGCGCGGTGAGGGGCGGGGGGTCTGGGGTGTGCCGGGTTTGTGTGGGTTCTCCTGTAATGCTGGCGAGGTTGTCAGCGCTGTGCTGTTGGTGCTGCCAGCGGCGGCCCCAGCGCCCCCAAACCGTGGAGGAGCCACCCACTACTCTGACCTGCCCCTGTCCCTGGTCCTTCTCGAAGGATCTGGCTGTGTTAACCTCTGCTTGTGGGTGGCACAAAAGCAGCTGTTTCAGGGCAGTAGTTTTGGCATAGCCCTTGTGTCAGTGCTGCAGAAGAAGAGCCCTGGCATTCCCTGGCAGGGAAGGTGACATCCCTGCAGCAGGGAGTGCCCTGCCATGACACAGCCAAACAGTAGAGCCTGCCAAGGCCTCGTCTTTGCCAGGACCTGCAAAGGGGGAAATGGCATGAAGTGTCTTTAGTGAGAGGTGCCTTGAGAGGTCCAGCGTGGCAGATGGTTCAGCTGGGATGTTTGTGTGGGTTTTGCTGTTTCTCTGGAGTGTTTGCTCCCATCCTGACAAGCTTTGCTGGTTTCCCTTTGCAGATTGCCCTCGCCAGTTTCTATGAGGACGGGGGTGATGAGGACATCCTGACCCTGCCCCAGCCCACCCCCAGCTCCATATCCAGAGGCACTGGAGCCAGGTGAGAAGTGAGCTCCAGGTCCATCCTGGAAACCTGACAGTGGAAACTGTGAAAACACCAACTCTCTCTAAAGCACTGATGTGTGTTAGTTTTCGGGAGTAGCTCTGTGTTTAGATTTGCTTCACCTCATTTGGCTCTCTAGAAATTGTGAAAGCCTGAGCATTTGTACGTCACCAGCACGGGTGTTATTGCACAACTGAGCCAGAGATCAGTTAGGAAAGCTCGGCTCATTGCTCAGGAAAAACTTGGTTTGTCTTTTGAGGTTAAAGACGGTCAGTTGGTGACACTTTCATTTGAGCAGACCATGTCTCTGCAGGAAGAACATTTTCTGGTTTTGTGTGAGACCTGAGCTGATCAAGTCAAGCATTTTACAAAATAAGAAGTGAGTTTTGCTTTACCAAATCCCTGTGAAGTCAGGGAATGCTGCCCAGTTTTAAAGAGGAGTTGCTGGCTGTATCTTGAAGGAGAAATGCTCTCGGTTCAGCCATCGGCGAACAGAGTCCACCTTGCAGAAGGAGCCTGTTTCAGTGTGGAATGTTTTAGCTGGGAATGTTTTAGTTTGGACCGTGTCCCAACATTCTTCTTGCTGGATCTTTGCAGTGACCATCGAGTAACCTCGTTCAGAGACCTTGTGCATGCGCAGGAGGAGGATGATGAAGAGGAGGAGGGACAGCGGTAAGTTTCCAGCTAAAGATTCAAACCCTGGGTGTTTATCCCGTCCCTTTTGGGAGGACTTGCTGCTTGTGTTCAGTTTTTTTAAGATCAAGTTCGTGTCTCTATAAAATTCCTGTAGTGAAGCATCTGAGGTTTGACAGGGGTTTGTCAGTGCAAAGCCTGTGCACGAACACGTGCTCAGCTGTGCAAGCACCAGCTCTCAGCGCTGAGAGAAAGCCTAAAGTAGGGTATGGAAGCCCTGGGTTAAGAACAGGAAACAGCCCAGATCCTCATTTATGTCCATAGAGAACGGAAATGTGGGAATAATGCAGAGATTTGTTTTCTTTCTGCTTGGGGTTTTCGGTTTTATTTTTGTCGGGGTTTTGGTTTTGGGTTGTTTCGTTTGGGTTTTTTTTGAAGTGCTGCTTAAGGGTAATGTACTGGAATGTGGAAGTGGAAAGAAAAACAGGAACATGGAATACTAGTGGGAAAGTCTCCTACGATGTCAGCTGTAAGTAGTTAAATACCCTTAAGGTTGACAGGCAAAGTAAATGGAATGGAACTGATGTCTCTGAAGGGGTGGCTCAGCCTGGATGGACCGTGGTCTGCAGGCAGCTGGGAGCTCGCTCTGTGTGTGTTACAAGCCATCTGGAAGCTAATAAACCCAATCTTCCAGAAGTGCTTAATTGCACTTCACTGACTGTGCATCCATTGCTTCCAGCTGAGATCCGTCCTTTGTGTGGCATGACCGTGTGCCTTCCCTCAGAATTCCAGTTGGATGTTTCTCTGATGGGTCAGAGGCTTGCTGGAAGCCTTGTTCAGCCGGGTGATTGAGCTGGTACTGGTGTTTAAAACAGGGCTTGTCCCTCTGGGCCGTTCCTCTTGCCAGGTCTGAGACTTGTGGCCACTTTATTGCTATTGATCCACAGGTAATTTTACAGTAATTGACATAAAAAGAAGGTCTCTGCAGTACAGGAACTTGCAGGTGGCGGCAGTGGGAGGCACGCTGGTAGTATCCAGTATTTGTGATTCCACGGTGTTTCACTGAGCTGCACAAATACGAACAAGTGAATCCTGATGTCAAACCGCTGGGTCCTGGAGAGGCAGCGGGTCCAGTCTGACCAGGAGTCGGGTGCTTTCCGTTAGGTTTTATGCCGGCGGCTCGGAGAGAAGTGGCCAGCAGATCGTGGGCCCTCCGAGGAAGAAGAGTCCCAACGAGCTGGTGGAGGATCTGTTCAAGGGAGCCAAGGAACACGGCGCGGTGGCCGTCGATCGGACGACCAAGGGCGGTGGTGAGACAAGCAAGCCGAAGGTGAGGAGGGCTGAGTTCTTCCTTCTGTTCCCTGTTTCAGTTAAGGCTCCACCATGCCAGCTGTTTGGCACTGAGGAGCCTGGAATTACCTCGACAACTAAGTCTGGACTCCTCTCTCAGTGCAGCTCTATTTTGTGTGTCACAGTGGCAAGAAAAGCCGCTCTCTTGTGCCGTATTTATGAACTTGCTGAAGCTGTCACTGTGCCTGCAGGGCAATAGATGTTGCTGATGCCATGAAGCCCCTGTTCATCCACAGGGGTGGTGGGGAAGGGGAGCAGCTCTCTTGGGTTTGTGTGGTTCTGTAACCCTTTGCCTGCTTCTCTCTTCCAGCCTTTTGCAGGGGGAGGGTATCGCCTTGGGGCTACTCCCGAGGAGGAGTCGGCTTACGTGGCAGGAGAGAGGAGGCAGAACTCTGCTCAGGATGTGAGTATGCCTGCACAAGTTTGTAGATGTGACCCAAGGGATTTCTCTGCTCTAGCTACAGAGCTTGCCACCCCTGAGAGTTACAAAGCTTGATAGAAATTCACAAGGACAGAAATATGGTAAAGCCTGCTTCCTGTGGGATTTCTGAGTAGAAAATAGATGATTGGTCTTGGGTAAGCAGTTTTCTGATGAACTGTTAATTAAGAATATGAGCATTCCTTAGAAGTGCAATAATGTGTGAAGAGCACTGGGCAATTAACTTTTCTTTATCCACTGGAGAGCTGTGGAGCTGCCAGCATCAGTGTGAGGTTCCCTCGTGCTTGGTTTATGGCCAAACCTGCTTCTAGGCCATGGTGGGAGCCTGGTTTAGGCTCCTCACCCAGCACACTCCTGGCTCTTCAGCCATATTTGCCTTAAAGGGGACTGTGGTGCCACCTTCTAGGAATTGACACCTGACCATTACATACATAGCCAGTGCTTTGGGTTTTTTCCCTCAGCCCAGAGGAACCTGGCTGGAGTGTTTTCTGCACCCAAAAGCTCCTCTGCCCAGTAGGAACTTTTCATTTTGCATCGATTTTTGTTGTCACCAAGATGCTCAGTGAGGCTGATTGTTGTTTGGGGGCTGCTGCAGGTGCACGTTGTACTGAAGCTCTGGAAGAGTGGATTCAGTCTGGATAGTGGAGAGCTGAGGAGCTACCAGGATCCATCCAATGCCCAGTTCCTCGATGATATCCGCAGAGGGTACGTAGTGAGAGGGAAGAAAAAGAGCAGCTGTTTTCTGAAACACAAGTGTTTTTGGAATCCAGGCTGCTGAATCTGTGGCACATTTCACCTGAGCTTTCTTGTAAGAAATTAATTATTCTTCATATGGAACATTTGGTTCAGGTAAACAGGGAGTGGCTTTGGTTTGTGTGGGGTTTGTGTGAAGTGAACAAAGAGGTGTTCATATTTGGGGTGAGATTTCTGATGCATCACATCACTCCAGGTGACAGGGAAAAGCAGCCTTTAATTTGTGTGTGTCAGTGGGGGAGGTGTGCGTATGCCCTGTTAATTAAGTGAGGGGCACACTGCAATTCCTGAAAAT